AACCGTTGGAACGCGGCGGTGACTCGCCGAATCTCCGGTCTCCGCGATCGTCGCGGGGGGGCTCCATCACGCGAATGAGTCGCGATTTCTCCCAAGCAAATTTCGCGCAGGTGGCACGCCGGGGGTCAAACGGGTCGATTCGTTCGTCAAACGGGTCGACTCATCCGGCCCGGTTCGAGTCCGGATGCCCCGGATTCCTTTCCTTGACCGGTTAAGTACTCGAGTGACGTCATGTGTGACGTCACGCTCCCGTCGCGGCTCTTGATCCTCTTAATTTTTAATTTCGTTTGTCGACTTCAATTTATATCTTGCAGGGTCTCTTTTTCTATATGATATAAATATACAATTTTTATTATTTATTATTTACTATTTATTTATTTAACTCTCATCAGTATTACTTTTTTTTATCTACTAATTTATATTTATTTTTTAACGTTTGATTTATCTGAAGATCGAAGACCTTGACCTGGAGCCAGTGCACGACTTCATCCTGATCCGGGACGGTCCCGGTCCGGAGTCCCCCCGGCTGGCGGAGCTGACCGGGACCGGCGCCGAGAACCCGAAGTTCGTGATGAGCACCGGCAACCGGCTCTACCTCTACGTCTACACCGACCTGGGGGATTCCCGGAAGGGATTCCGGATCAAGTACTTCTCAGGTGAGGGGGGGTTTTCGTTTGGGTTTTTAATTCGCGTTTTTGGATTGGTGGGATACTTACAAATATTTTAATACAAAATATACCTTTAAAATAATTTATATTTTATATTTTAAAATGTATAAAGAAATGACTGCAGAATATTTGATACCCTACAAATGTAATAGGCGAGTTTTATCGTGAGTCTTCGACGGGATCCGGAAACGAGCACGGAGCCCGGCACGGAGCGGATGGGAACAGTCGATGCGCGCGGCGTGCCGGCTCCGTGGGGAAAAGTTTCCGTTCGTGCACGCACCGCGTTAATGATCGATGGATCGACGGTCGCGAACGTCGCGGATGACCGAGGACGATTATTTCGTTCCGTTTCGCGCGCCGATCCGGCCTCGATTCTACGCCCGTGTAGATTTGCGGTGAGACGCTGAAAACGGCTAATTAATAATAGCAAATTGAAATCAGCTAATTGAAAACGGCTAATTGAAAATGGCAGGTGAAAATATGCAAATAAAAATAGGCAGGTAAAAATTGGCTGATTAAAATGGGCAAATAAATAATGGCGAGACGGTCGTTTTTTGCAGGTTGTTCGGTGCGAGTGGACGCGGACTCCGGGGAGGTCCGGAGCCCGGCGTTCGGAACGGCGCCGTACCCGGCAAATCAGGTGTGCACGTACCACATCCATCGGCCCGGCGGGGGCCCGCTCTCCATGCGGTTCTCCGAGTTCGACGTTGATCAGTCTGATGCCGTCCAGGTTAGTGCTATTTTTTTTTTTTTTT